GTGCCGAGGGATCATAACTGTCATCAGTCAGAAGCCTCTACGTCTGGTCATGGCGAACCGGCAGTCGAACCTTCTACCCATCCGAGGGTATCCGTAGTTTTCCCAAACAACCCTAGGTACCGATAGGAGTGTCGAAGGAGAGATAGCAAAGTACCGCTCTGAGTACTGCATTCCGGATTCAGTAAGGATGAGGATTCCTGGTCTTACCGAATCCCTAAGCTAGCCGAAGGGCGGCAAAGTCGTCTTTTTTACCGACGTACTTCTTCAAGGATTCTGATTGCCGCTCCAACCGACAGTGCAAAGAATATTGGCTCAGATCGGTTACGCTCCGGGACAATACAACTCTAACTTCTGGGTGACGCTCATGGGGGTGATCACCGCGTTCGGTATGGCCGAGGAAGGGAAGCCTTCCCACAAGTAGTTCTCTTACTTGTACAGCATCACCAAGTCGAAGAGTGCCAACCACGGAGGTTGGGTTCAGGCCAATTGTCTCCGGGCTTCCGAGCGATGTCGTTTTGTGAGTGTCGTGCCAACTTCTCAGAAGTCTTGAAGGAGCCGACGGGTACTTCTTTCCGGCGATTGGGAATCGCCATCGGGACAACCCATTCAGTTCCCCATCCCGACCACCTTCCAAATAGCCGGTAGGTAAAAGTGCCTTTCGGTAGGCCAATAGTAGTGTTTTGTTTGAGAAATCTAATTCCGTTTTGTTCCTTGTGTAGGCAAATTGAAGCAACCGAGCCCAACTCAGTCGGAGATTCGGCAGATTGACAGGGTGAGGTTGAAGGTCCCTGCTGTAGAGAGGGTGTACCCCAAGTTTCTTTTCACCGCCAACTTGATCAAAGCCCAACTCGTCAGTCCTGCCGAGAGTAAGTGCACTTTGTTTACTCTGTGTTCATTTATGTCACATCGAAGCCTTACTGACCCTCATTTGTGCAGTGACGGATGCTAGAAGAGCTATTGAGGCTAAGCGGATGAACGAGTCGTCCAAGAGACGACTTATGCTGGGCCTTCAGGGGAAGAAGAAAAATTGGCAAACGGAAGCAAACCCAGTGCCCTCGGCAGGAGCCGATCCCGAGGACCAAACCCTCGCCGACCATCTCCGGCAACTCAACACCGGTTCAGTACCTAGTGGGGCTACAGCTGCGGGCTTTACCCCGAGCCAAGTGCAGACTATCGAGGCCCTCTCTTCCAAGGCTGCCGAGAAGCGTTCGGAAACGATAGACCTGGACGCCGAACCTGCCCTAAAGCGTGGGAATCAGTCGAAGCCTCCGAGGGCCATCTTTGCCGTTGAAGACGACGACGCTCCTGCCGATCCCATCATCATAGCCTGTCCGTTGAAGACGATTCAATTTGCGAACCACATGATCCTCGGTGCGCAAATGGAGCTGTCAGAGATCGAGGAGCTGCCAAAGAGGCTTATTCGGGAGGAAGCCGGGCGTGCCTTCCTCCTCCAGGCATCGGTACGTTTTTTTTTTTCATACATTGTTGCTGTTTGCTTTCGTACTTGTCCTGATATTTCTTGTTGTTTTTCAGGCTTCGATGGACATGTGGCTGTGCGTGAAGCGGGCCATCAATGCCGCTGAACGGGCCAAGAAAGCCTACAAAGACAGCCGTGCCAAGGTTGCCGAGGCAGTCAAGGCTATCTAGGACCATGCTCACCTCATCAAAGACCTACAAGCTGCCGAACGGCAGGTCAAAGCTTCTGAAGCCAAGCTTGCGGAGATGATGGCAGCTCTGGAAGTTCTCACAGACGGCGCCAAACTGTTGACGCGAAAAAATGTTTCGGCACTTTCCCGCTCAAGTTCGTGATGTTGGGCCTTCTGTAAATGTGTGGGCCTTGGCAGAGTGTGCGATCTGTAAGACAACAAACACTCGATAAGACCTTGGGCACCGGTGTGGTACCGGCCGAAGGCTCTCCGATGCTTAAATAAGTACGGAGTTGGAAAGTTTAAACTAACAGACCAATAGGCAGTATGCCGTAAGTTCTGATTACCTCTATTTTGGGGAGTTGTGCTTCTTTTATAAGCCTTGGGAAGTATGCTTGTTATGTAGATTTTCGATGTGGGACTGTTGACATCGATTGTGGGCTGCCACGTGTCCTGTAGAAGGAGGATGCCCTAATCGAGGAATCAGTAGGATGGGTGCCGAAAGTCACCATGGTTAGGCACAATCTATGTCCACGTGTCTGGCCCCCATTGGCTGTTTATTTTGGGTATAAACAGCAAGAATGCTTAAGGCTTCGATTCTACGGTGTATTGCAAACTCAGATTGAGTTTAAACTCATAAATTACTATCTAGTTCTTTCCTATTTAAAATTATATCTTCCAGTTAAGAAATGCATATATTTTTTTCAATATTTGAATTAAGACATAAATATTATATTTTTGGAAAATAAAATAACGTAAAATCATGTCTACAAAGTACAATTGAAAATAGCTTAATAAAATGCATTTGGTCTTCTGTATGTGGATTCAGAGACGCTTACATATATATGTCACACCCCAGACCCGAGTATGGTAGAAACATCATGCCGAGTGCCTAAAAAATAAAAGATAAAACAAAAAGGGGTTGAAACATGGGTTAACATAAACTTCTTTTATAAAAATAGGTCTAAAATCTTACAAGTGTACTAAAAATAGATAAATTTATCTTCCACTCACCTACAATCCTCATCTAATTTAAAGTTCCAAACACTTTAAAGTTCTACCACCCTCATCTAATTTAATCTCAGCTCGTCTACCATCCGTCTTTTCGGTTTTAAGCCTATAAGGTCTATAAAGGGGCGAGTGAAACCACAGCCCAATTGGAACATAAATCTTACTATAAGAAATTGATATAAGTAAATTAAGTGACATACAATAATACAATCAGATGCCAAATCAATTTTAGTAATGCATGAGTGCACAATGTACGCTCTTCGTCTATTCCTGTTAATTCATATAAATGAACAAGCATTACAAATAGCCCATCGATATCCTCACTCTATATTGTGAATAAACATTTACAAATAGACATTCGAGATGGTCTATTTGTGAATAAACGTTTCATACCATGCTTATATCAGTTGGTCCCGAATGCCTATTTGTATGAGCTAAATCAACCCAATCAACAATTATATACCACCGATATCCTATTATGACGTACTTACAATTCTTACTTGAACTTAGTCCCAACAATGGTCTGACTCAACTACACAAAATATCCTTTTTATTACCTTCTTTCTCATAATTACTTTCTTAATCCAAGAGTTCAAACCATCACCTATAACATGTCAGCATTAATAAAATAATATCAATAATATCATCATTTAATAATCTTAAACAATAATACAATATTCACAAAATTTAATTTAATTAATTTCCGTAAAGACTCCCCTAGAACCCCTATACCTCGATTCGAAAGCATAACAAGACGTTACTAAAACACAAGGCAAGTCTCTATATATCTCCTCCGATATGTCATCTTTCCTATATATTGCCTCTCTCTCTCTCTCTCTCTTCTGACAAGTGGTAAGAGCACTACACTAACACTAGACTTATTTAATGCGTGTTTCAAACGAAGTAACAAAGGGTCCTATTTATACTACAATGAGGCAGCAAGACATTTAATTGGTGAGGTGTGCAGCAGCTAATAAGCTTAACTCCAAGCTTTAGCTAATTGTTTCTCGAATGTCAACAACTCATGCTAGGAAAACCACCTCATGCTTCTTTGATTGGAGAAATTTTTGTATGCTCCTTTGATTGCATGTAATTGACTCCAAAATAACTCTAATTCTTCATGCTCATTATATTCATGATGCTCATTATACCCATGTCATAACAAACTCATACTTATCCTTTCAACAAGATACGCAATGATACCACGTAGTCTAAACTCTACATAATTTCTTGTTTTTAGATTACACTCGATAAAATAAGAATATTTTTGAGCTAATTAATAATAAGAAAAGATATATATAATTTATAAATTAAATGAATAGTAAAATATTTAATTCTAAATATATGTACATATATACATATATATATATATATTTTAAATGGGTCTTCACAATATATGTTTGAAACCTCTGAAGTGGGCTGTTGACACAACCTGAGATCCCTACATAAATAATATAACGTAGCAAACTCTACATATGCAAACCAAAGGATCGAAGGCTACATGTAGGCTTCGTGAATCATACTTCTATAATGTGTGCATTACAAAGTTTAAGACCAAGAAAAAAAAGTTCCAATGCTGACATGCATGCCTCTTTCATATATTTGCCACATGGGCGCCACGCTAGACAAAACTACATCGATGAATTTGGGAAACTTGACACCTACGTTAAATTTTGAGTGGTAAAGTGAGTGAAAACAAAAAAGGTGAGACACGTGATAATTCATGGCGCATTGCTACAAATTCTTATAACTAATGTGGTTTTGTAAGTGATGTACTTTCAAAATTATCTTCCCTAAATTTGAAAACAGTAAGTTTTTGGACACTCTTTTGTAACTAATGTGGATAGTAGAGGAAAAGGGAGTTCTATAGCCTGAAAACACTCTGTAAAATTTGATCAGACGATTACCGTTGGATGAAAACTAATCGCGATTAATAGGCCTAAGACAAACTTTTAAACCATATTGATATGATATATATCATGTTAATCTGTATGTTATGTTTTTACTCTAATTTTGGACCGAGAATGTTGTTTTCTTGAATATAAATGCCACGCATGTGAACGAGTTTAAGATCCATCTGATGCTGGAAATAACCTATCTGATGCTGTTGTAACATTTGTTGGAAAATGATGGCTCATAATTCGCAGTATGATTCAGTTGCTTGAGTTGTTAAGGTCATTCCCTGACAAATAGGGAGTTGCTAAAATTACAATGACAACGATGAATTTGTACTATATATTATATACCCACGATGCATGAGAATCCTCATAACAAAAAAGAAGAGAGAAATCAGTAAGTTTATAATTAAGTTCAGGGGGACAATTACTGCAGCCAAAGGCCACCATGAGATTGCATAATTTGAAAGCCCTATTGGGTTCATTGCTGCTCTTTCTTCTAGCAGTATTTCTCGACCATGCCATTGCCCACCATAGGCCAAGGTTCACTGCTGGCCCTTGGAAGCAAGCTCATGCCACATTTTATGAAGGAGGCTCCGGAACATTTGGTACGAAATTCTACACAACGTCGTTTTGAACACAAGAGCACTATATTTTAATTACATTATATATATTTGCAACTAATTCTTTTGAGCTTGTCAGGTGGAGCTTGTGGTTACCATGATGTTGTTCAAGAAGGATATGGCCTGGAGACAGTAGCATTGAGCAATGCATTGTTCAACAACGGACAGTCATGTGGTGCATGCTACGATATCAAATGTGTAGACCAACCTCAATGGTGCAAGCCCGGGAATCCGATTCTGCATGTTACGGCGACTAACAATTGCCCCCCGAATTGGAATCAGGCAAGCGACAATGGAGGATGGTGCAATCCACCACGCGAGCATTTTGACATAGCCAAGCCTGTATTCCTCAATATTGCCGAGTACTCGGCTGGTATCGTCCCAATCGAATATCGCAGGTAAGTTTATTCATAACAGTGTACCAACATAACATGTCATAGTAAGTAGCAAGAGAATATTATCGATCAACCATTTTAATTATTATCTTCATGTTCAACATTGAATGAAATGTTAACAATGTTTTACAGGGTTTCATGCCAAAAGAAAGGAGGTATTCGATTCACAATAACCGGGAACCCTTACTTCAACGAAGTGTTGGTGTGGAATGTGGCAGGAGTTGGGGATGTGGTCAGCGTGCAAGTGAAGGGCCACGACAAGTTGAAATGGACAATGATGAAGCGGATGTGGGGTCAGAGGTGGGTTACTGATGCCAAGTTGGTTGGTGAGTCACTCACCTTCCGAGTCCTAGCAAGTGATAAAAGATACTCCACCTCATGGCATATAGCCCCCAAGAATTGGCAGTTTGGCCAGACATTCGAAGGCAAGAACTTCCGATAGAAAAATGATCTTGGTGTTCCAATTACACAAAACCTAAACCACAGGTCCACAACCATATGTATGCTTATGTTATGATGTCCACATGAAATCTTATGTCAAAATTCCTCAACTGTACAAGCATTTCCTTGGCTAATGCTAATAAATTACATAGTTAAAAGCTTTAAAGTATTTTAGGATTGTTCGGGAACGATTATGCTTTTATTTTTACTTCTTTTAAGTTAGAGAGGGAAAAATCAGTGTGTATTTTCCTTCGCTTATCCCTCACATCGACTCTTTCTCTTCTCCAAATTTCCTCAACATTAATTGAAGAAAAGAAAAAAAACATTATAAACAAAGCTTTAAAAATGGATGTTCAAAATCCTTAAACCTTTCAACCAACAAGTTTCATATGCAAAGCCCATATAGACAAAAGAGAAGAGTGAGGCAGTGATCAAATTGGAACTTGCAAATCAGTAAAATGCCAAAGTTATATGCACATATATACAAGAGAAAGCATGTAACCAGCAGAAACCCTGTACGTCGATATCATGTGCCCAGCTGGCTTTGAGTGAAGCAGTTCAGGGAAATTACAGAGATCTCTTTTCTGACCTGAACCAAAACAAGAAAAGCTAGTCAGTTGCTAAATACCCACATTTAGTCTAAGCAGACCCTACTCAAAATCATATCAACGATCTGGAAGGGTGGGAGTTCAAAAAATTGCATTAAAATAAAAAGAAGGCATCATATTTTTCTGTAATAAATGAAACAAAATCATGTCTACAATAATCAGTTGAAAATACCTTAATCAAATGCATAGGGATCGTCTGCATATGGATTCAGAGACCCTTCTGAAAACAAGTCCCCCATGTTTGAAGGATTTGGTTGACCTCCTCCCTTAGATCGCTACATAACAAATATGACACATTACAAACTCTGCACGTGGAAATCAAAAGGAACACTGCAGTAATATAATTTAAGCCATGCTACATATGCTATCATGGTTCACGATTTATACATGCATATCCAGCTTTTCCAATAGATAAATACATTAATAATACTTCTAATTACATTACATGCTCCAAAGAAAGGTCCCGAGCAATATTGGGGCACGAAAAAGTAGAAGCATTACAAGAGATTACAAAAACTGAAGTAAATAAGTATTTGGTTGATTCTGTTACCTTAACAACACTCCTGGGAGTAGTGGCTTTTGGAGTACTTGTCTTTTTATGTTTTCTTGGATCCTGATGTTACATATAAATAAAATTCAGTATTGGGTAATGTATGCTGAAAAGAGCAATTCTGGAAGTCTATTTATTTCATATACAAAACAAAGATTTAGTATATAGCTTCACGGAAGTGACCAGGTACATACTTCAAACATCACTGTGCTTCTTGTTCTTCTTCTTTTCGTGACTGTTCTTCCATTAGAGGTTTCAACTTCATATTCCCGATGAGTTACCTGCAAGCTGATGAAGTTAGCCTAAAGAGGTTGAGGGGATAAGGCATGTATCAATCGATCATATTAGTAAGTAACATTAAATTCTTAAACGACCACTAGTGCCCCTGCCAAGAGGATTTATATATTTCTTACTACTGAAATGCATTTATAACTTATAGAAAAGCAAATGTTGCATCATTTAAGAATACTCTAGCAGAAAAAAATTCGTACATAAGTTATTCACCTTTTTGTGATGCTTTGGAATACTCATTATTCTTCCTGTGTTTGGGTTCTCTACTTTCTTCAACAACTTTGACACTGGAGTTTGTGTTGCTACCAGTAAAGGTGAATCCTGTCAATGAAATAGAATCACATATCATAATCATTGTCATATTGTCATGTGGAAAAATGAAGGAAAGTAGAAATGATTTTTCATTAATGTGCCACCTTTTCATCATTCTCTGGTACCAGAGAATGCTGACCTCTTTTTCTACCAACAGAGTTTCTCATCTGCCTTGACGAAATGGAGTAATCCTGAGACAGAATGAAGGCATCAGAGTCATAGAATTTCAGATTAGTTGCATCGTAATCATTTAAAATAATTACTCCTGATATGAAAATTTACACTTCAACCCCAAAAAGAAAAATTCTTGACTATATGCTTTCCCAGTTCCCACCTGCTGTGAATACTATATTGACAACAGTCCCCACTGTTTCAGACTGTTTAAATTTTGAAATTATTTTATTTGTAAAACTCCCAATCTACCCCCCACCCCTCTCCAAGATACAGAGAGAGATCTATTGATTTGAAATCCCACCTTCTTTGAATTCACTTCTTGGTCCTCCTGGGGTTTATCACCCATAACTCTCCACTGCAATTGCAGTAATGCCCTCTGTCTCTCCTCCTGTAAAATAAGCATTATAAATAAAAGGTACAGATAAATCTTATTATATAAAGCACTTCTGCTAGATATGTACCTTGGACTTTTGAAGATCCAACTCATCCTGCAGCTTCTTACACTCATCTTCGTGCTCGAGCCTCAAACCTCTAAGCTGCGCTTCATGTTCGTTCCTCAGCGATGTCATTTTCTATGAAAATAATAAAATGATTAGTAAATCATATTACACTCAACTTAAATTAGCAGTTCTAACTAAATTTAAAGCTATTTGAACCTCTCTCAATTCGTTTTCAGCTTGAAGTTGGATATGCTTGAACGCTTCACTGTGTTCAGCTTTTAGACCGAGTTCCTTTTTATCATGCTCTTGCTGAATACGACTGACCTATACGACATCAAATATGAAAGTCAATAATGTTCATAACCAAATATTCCAAGTCAGTCTCTGAAGTAGAAAACACAGAAGCATGCAATATAAATGCCTCATAAATGAGCAACTTCCCATATTAAACTGAGCAACCTAATACGATAATAAGGGAAAATTTGAAGTAATTTCTTACAAATGTTCACCTTTATTAATAAACTGCAGATAAGCTCATTTAATAAGTTAATTTAATTATCAGTCCAAAAAGACTGAGTAACAAACTAGCTCTTTTTTTTTCTTTTTTCTTTTTTTTCAAATTACAACTTAAGATTCAAAAAAACTAAGAGTGATTGCTAAGAATGAAAATTCTGCATAATCCAATACAAGTTCAGAGGTATTTAACATATGAAAAAGAATTACTCCCTAACTGAAAGTAAATGTGTAGCAAAAACAAGAATAGGATTTGGTGGTAAGATTGCAAACAAATGCATCATAGAGAAAAAGTGATCAGCAATTAGCACACACCAACACATACCAGAGTAGCATGTTCCTCCTGAACACGCATCAAGTACTGCCTAGATTCTTCTTTGCATTCTTCAAGTTTTTTCTCACATTCTCTCTCCCTTTCTCCAACAATTTTTTCGGCCTGAAGTTTCAAATGAATAACAATTGAAGAACATGATTCATTCCTAAGCATATTGCAAGAGATGATAAAACGAGCAAACCTTTTCCTTTTCCATGTTAACTATCTCCAGCTTCTCCACCTCATACTTCTTCCGGATGTCATTAATTGCCTAAATAAACCCTCTTACTTTCAGTCCAAAAGTACTTAAACAACCTGTATGGTGTCCATATAAGAATATCACAAGAGATAACACCTGATCATTCCTCTGAGAGATATCTTTCAAATGCCTTGATAATTCCAGTTGTTTACTCTCTAGCATGAGATCATATTGCTTCTTATCTTCCACAAGTTTACTTTCAGCAGCAGCCAGCAATGCCCGATTCTGCAAAAAAATACAGAATCGTAAATACATGCAAAAAAAACAGATTTATGCACTCAACACATTCGCACTGAATTCATACCCCTGTGTTCTGTTCTTCCAGATTCTTCTCTCGTGCCTTATGTTGCAGAATAAGGTTCTCCTTCTCCTCTAGCATATTTTGAAGCTGACTGACTTGTTTATCAATCAGATCTACTTGCTCTTCATGTTTTTCACCCTCCTTTAGTAAACTATCTATTTCTTCAGCTTTTTTCTGTAACTCTGCTTGTAATTTCTCTGTATAATCTTTACTCTCAGTTTCTAATGCCGAAATTTTCAGCAACAGATCTTGCTGCAAGATGGTATAAAACAAAGCTTAATATGGCAAAAATGCTGCTCAAATGCAAAAAGTCAACGTGTTGGAACTTGCTAACCATTCTGTTCTCAGATGATCTTGAACTTTCTGACAGAGAATTAATTTGCAGTTCTAATTGGGAGACCAACTTCTCTGTTTCAATTTTCTTTGAGACCAGACCTTCTGCTTCAGACTCCAAGTTCTGTATCCTCTCTCTGGCTACACGGCATAACAGACTCCTGAACTTTCTGGAGTTTGAGGACCTTATTGTTCAACTCCTGATTTACCAATTCTATAGCATCTTTTTCTGATGTTAAGGTCAGAAATCTATCATGCAGTTGATCGTACTGTCTCTGAGAAAGCTTGGTAGAAAGGTCTCTCTCCTGCTGGACCAACTTGAAGCACGCGTCATAGAGAGAGTTTAGCTTATCAAACTTGTCTAAAAAATCCAAACTTTGTTTATCCAATTCGACCAAGTGTGCAGCCAACACATGAACAAACCCTTCAAGGTTTTTTATCTCAAGGACAGACATATCTAATCTCTTAACAAGGTCATCGTTGCTCAATTGAACACCGAGCTTTTCCTTTTCCAAGTTTTCCTGGACAGTTATCAAACGTTTGATTTCATCCTCTTTCAATTTTAACTCAAGATGCACCTCACCCAACTTAGAGTTCAAACTTTCTGTAGCCAACCTATTAGTTGCTAGAGTTGCCTCAAAGTTCTTTATCATAGCATCTGCAAGGAATGACATAAATGACAAACATTATAAAACAATCCCACGACAACTTGAAATAATAATTTCTGAATTTCATTCAACATGCTCAAGGTGCAATTGTTTTCTCAATGACTGGAACATGGAGGTAAACCTAACAATGCATGCCTTCAAACATTTCTATGTTTTTGTTTTGTTTTTTGTTTTTAAAGAAAAGTGCATACATTAATTAGGCAGTACTTTATTGACTATCAAAAACATACTACCAGATCTAAAATGTATTCTAAGAGAAAATCTTGATTCAAGTGGAAAAGAATTTTATCTTTGTATGGCAACAAAGTTAAGAGAAAGCTGAACATCTGAGAGGGGGAAATATATTAAGCATGTATTCCTTAAGAGGCTTCAGAGGTAAGAGGAATACTGATAGAACTGCCTAACTCGAATTTAGATTTATTTTTTTTTTTTTCACTTTTTCACCATTACGAGTCAAAATGTTGAGAGTTACAAGGTTGATGTACAACTGTACACACAATATATTTGAAAATCACTTAAAGGGCAAGAAACCATATACAAAGCAATTTATGTGGAAGGTTGCCTACATTGAAAGGAAAAACTAATGCATGAGCCATATGACACATGCATGCATAGTTTCAACCATCTTCAAAAGCACTGAATTGTAAAGCTCCATGAACTGTAATTTAAAATTATTTAGTTGCAAGATTGGCTTATAATGGCCAAAAATGCAGTAGTTCCAGAAATTTCAGCTCATTATGCAATATCTAGTTGCAACCAAGTGATGACGCCACCAAAAGTTTTAATTCATAATATGTTTACCTTTTTCCTCTATGAGATTTGCAGTTCTGCTCTGTTCATCTCTGTAAGATTTTTCCCTTTCTTCTTTATCAGATTTGAGTTCCTCCAGCTGCTTTTCACCTACAGTCAGGATTCAGAAACATCACAGAAAGGAAAATGCACCTTTATCCAGTTAAACATTGCATCATCCCTACATTCTAAAATTTAAACATTCTCTCAGGAAAAGGAAATGAAAGGGAAACAACTTACGGTTCCTTATAATGTCCTCTGCAGACTCTAATTTTAGAGACAGACCATTCATCTGTTTATTTAAACCATCAAGAGCTATTGCACTCGCAGAGATTTTTCCTTCAAAGTACTCTCTGTCTTTCTCGGCTGTTAAATCAAGCTAAGGATAAATAACACTGTGAACATAAGAAAAATGTGAAAGGTCAGAGAACTCAAAATAAGACTTACCATCCTGAACCTGGCCAGCTAAGAGCTGTAAAGTATCCGTGAGTTGATCACAGAGAGTTTTGGTTGAAGAAAACTTAGACTCCAATCCCTTCCACAGCTTTTCATCTTCCTTCTGCTTCACCTTAAGCTTAGCATTTTCATTGAAAGCATTCTGCAATTTTTCCTCTAATGCACGGATGTGCTCCACTGATTTTTTCAGCTTTGTGTTCTGCATTTATCATTTAAATCTCTGGTCAGATACCTTCGAATTTATAGAGATAGATGAATCTCACCTATTTACAAGAAATTGAAATCCTAACAAATCGACGCAGATAGTGAGACACAAAAACCTAACCACACAATTTCACAAGCTAGCACGAAAGATAAGCTCATTCACTCACACACACAGATAGAAAGCGAGAGAGAGAGAGAGAGAGAGAGAGAGAGAGAGAGAGGTACCGCCATTTCCAGATCAGTTTTCACAGAAGCTTGCTCTTTCACTAATTTCTCTGTAAACGAACAAAACAACGACAAATCGTCTCAGAAACTCCAAATTCCATAGAGAATCAACCAATAATCACAAATTTCCAGTAAAAACCTGCGGTGAGCTTCAAATTTGCGAAACTTCCAGAAGAGTTCGAATCTGGAGGACGCGAGGAGTAGGCGAAGATATTCGAAGTTCCTGAGACCGATTTCGAGAGGGACTTGAATTTATCCAAGCTCCTCATACTCGGAAAACCTACCCTTTGCATTTTGAAATCTAAGATTGATCGCACAGAGAAAGCCCTAGAAATTTGTTTATCAATCTCTCCCTCTCTCTGGAGCTCTGCGATTTTTGGAACTGAAATGATCTTGGCGCCAAAATAATGTTGACACAGTTATAGAGTTTTTTTACTTCCCTTAAAAAAGGCCTAGTATTTGTTTAATTTTTTTGCGGCAAGTAAAAAATATAATTTATTTCAGGTGAGACTATTGTTCACTGAACTTTTTATAATAAAAAAAAACTCAAAAAATGACAGATTGTTCATTATTAAATTACTTTGATGACCAATTAATTGTTTTGGGTTTTTATTTACGTGGTTTTGGGTTGGACTCATTTTAAGAAATTGATGGCAGTTTTGTAATTTATAGGAAGTTTGAAGTTTTTTTGTTATGTCGTAAATGGGTTTTGAATGTGCTTTTAAAGTCCATTTCATGTGGGTTTTTTTTTATATAAATAATTTGGGCCCCTATATCGGATATAATAGTGATTCTCCTTCTTCTTCTTTTTTCTTGATGAAATAAACAAATACATTTATGAAGCTCTTAAAATGTCATCATCTCATGTGCTCACCCGCCAATTCGGTTTTTTTTTTCTTCCAAAAAAATTAGGTTTAGATTGAATAGACTAGTTGAACTTGTATAATTTATGATTTAAACTTTAATTGTACCGTGTTCAACCAAACCGAACTGGGTGTATTTGTTTAGAGTTTAGGGCTAAACCCTAAACCCCACAAGCCTCTCTCTCCTCTTCCTTCATATTCATCTTCTCTCTCTTCTTGTATGGCCTCTCTCTCGTTTTTGTCTTCTCTCCCTCGACTCTATTGCAACCGCCACACCTCATTTTGTTGTTGTTGAAAATCGACTGAATTGCACTGATTTATCAATAAACCAACTATAGTCGATTAAAGATTTGTTTGCAAAATGAGCACACTGACAAAGGTAGTTTGGTGGTTGGTGTCACCTTATCGGCTTCATTTTGGGCATAAACAAAAGATAACCACCAAAACATCAATAGCAACATTCTCCCTTCCTCCTTGACATATTTTAAAACTTTATTTTTCACCTGAAAAACTAAAATAAAATAAATCGTATTTATATTAATTTATTTACAAAAATAAAATGGAAAAGACAAATAGTTCCGACGTAAGAAACATAATCATTAGGGCGAGATAGATAAAAGAAAAAATAAATAAATAAGAAATGATAAAATAATCATAGTATACTGTATAGGAGGGAACTGAATTGTACTATGCATGTTTGGCGATGGAAGCAAAGCTGCCAAATCCGCCATTTTCACCAACCCTTCTTATTCCCATTCGCATTCCAATCCCTCGAACTCTCCAACCCCACAATCCAAACACACTCTGACGAAGACGACGACAGCCACAGCCCACAAAACCCAAAACCTATTCAATCCCATTCCCACGCATAAAATGGACGACCCAAATTCGAGCCTTTTCATCATCGGCGGCTTGTTTTTGGAACCCACAGTTTCCAATTCTCTGCTCAATTCCGTAGTGTCGTTCCGGAAGTCTTCTTCGGCTGTCGTTTCCGGGTCTGGTTCGTCGTATGGGTTTAGGCTGAGAGCGGTGGCTGGAGGTGGGTTCTTGTCGGTGAGCTTGAAAAGCGATGGGGTTGTACGGGACTCCAAAGGGTGTTTGTTGCAGAACGGAGATGAGGGTTCGGAGGAGGTGGTGGTTGAAGAGACGAGGACAGAGAAAGTTGGGATTAGGGGAGGTAGAGCTATGAACACCACCAAGCATTTGTGGGCTGGTGCTATAGCCGCCATGGTTTCCAGGTCTGCTTTTTGCTTTTTATAATTCATCATTTTGTTCAAACTATTCTGGGTAATTGGTATATATTGCATTTGACAGTTTAGAAGAATAGTTTGAAGGAATTTGATTTCTCATTGACTTAATTTCAGTTGAGTGTATTAATTTGTTGATTTCAGTAAGTTACGGGAGTTTTATGGATAGGAAATCGGAATTTCATGTTTCGTGAACTGGATGACACACAGAAATTGAGAACCGGAAAATTGGAGTTTTATGTTTCATTTACAATCTGCATTTAGAGATTATGGTATTAGACTTAGGAGTTGCTCTGTGATTGTTACCATTTAGCACTTCATTTGTGGCTGATTGAATGTTGTTGTGTCAGAACTTTTGTTGCACCTCTTGAGAGACTAAAGCTGGAATATATAGTTCGTGGAGAACAGAGGCATCTATTCGAGCTGGTTAAGTCAATTGCGGTTTCTCAGGGCTTGAGGGGCTTTTGGAAGGGGAACTTAGTCAATATTCTTCGTACAGCTCCATTTAAAGCAATCAATTTCTATGCTTATGATACTTACAGAAAACAATTGCTCCGCTTCTCCGGAAATAAGGAAACTACAAATTTTGAGAGGTTTGTTGCCGGTGCTGCAGCTGGAATTACTGCTACCATACTCTGCTTACCTCTTGACACGGTAAGTGACCGTTTAGGATTTTGCTGTTTGATCAATTACTAGCTGAAATTGGGTTATGCTAAGTGGTTGAAATAGAAATTCAAGAATCTGTTTGCGAGGATTTGAAAAGGTAGTGACACAGCTAAACCTACATGATTTAACTCGCTTTCCCTTCCATAATCAAGCCAATAGAAAGTATGCATGTAATTGTTCAACAAGGGTATGCCTTTTCACTTGGGAACTCATTTCGGCGGAGATATAGATTATAAGATAGTCTGAAATAACTTATGCTGAAAGTTGTATTGTGTGCCCACTCTAAACAACTTATCCCACTGTGATATTTTCTGTGGTCAAAGCATAATTTGTTTGGAGTCTTGGGTATGGTGCATAGATAAATGTCTCCTTTCGTTTATTGAAAGTGAAGTCTTCCTTTTGATGCTTTAGTTTCCTTTTCTTCGTTTTTTCATTTTAAGATAGAAATTATGGTTAACCTTTATAATGGAAGAAATACAAAAATGTCCTACCTGTAAGCCGAGCACTTGGTGCTTTTTGTTGGTATTGACTATTAAGTTTTCATTCTTGGAAGTTAGTCCACACTGAAGCAGATCTAACTTTGGTTATGCCTAATGAAAGAAAGAAAAACAAAGTTTATGATATTATTAATTGTACCCTGCTATTACATAGATATACTAACCATGCAATTGGTTATATATGCTAAGTTAGATGTTGTGTGCTTCAGATTCGGACTAAGTTGGTGGCTCCTGGTGGGGAAGTCTTGGGTGGTGTAATTGGTGCTTTCCGCCACATGATCCAAACTGAAGGGTTCTTTTCACTTTATAAGGGCTTGGTACCCTCCATCGCAAGCATGGCACCTTCAGGTGCAGTTTTCTATGGTGTCTATGATATATTAAAAACAGCTTATCTGCATTCACCAGATGGAAGGAAAAGAATTCAAAAGATGAGTCAACAAGGGCTGGGCCTGAATGCTTTCGACCAACTGGAGCTGGGACCCGTTAGGACATTACTTTATGGAGCTATTGCTGGTGCTTGTGCAGAAGCTGCCACATATCCGTTTGAAGTGGTGAGGAGACAGCTGCAATTGCAAGTCCAGGCAACTAAAATGAGTGCCTTGGCAACTTGTATGAAAATAGTGGAACATGGAGGTGTCCCAGCTCTTTATGCAGGACTTGTTCCCAGCTTGTTACAGGCATGTTATTACATGGATCCCTATTTACTTTAGCTACTTTGTTGTGTTTTACAAAAGTTAATATGGTGATACAGTTGCCATATTTTTATATTTCTTTGGTTCAATGGCTTTGAAGTTTTGATGTATATGGATTCCTAGGTTAGAAGTTCTGAATGCATCTCTTTCTATAGGTATATACTTGGCATCGTCGTACTATGTCCTATACCCCTCTGCTATACATGTGAAGATTGTTGCATTCCCTTCAAATTGCAAGCATTGAGGTTATGTCTGTTTTCTTATCTCTGGTGTTTTGCATACTCAGGTACTTCCCTCAGCTGCAATAAGTTACTTCGTTTATGAGTTCATGAAGATTGTTCTCAAGGTAGAATGAAGAAATGAAATGGGAACCACCAAAGGAATATGATTGGAGATTTTACAGTATACTTAGAGAGGAGCACCGGCTATAAATTCAGAATTGTAGGATTATAGTGACTTAGCAGTTACCATTCATGTTCCCAAAAGATTCTGGTATTGCAAAAGGAAAAAAATAGTCCACATCTTAGCCTTCTCTGAATTCATACTAACTCATTTGTGAGCCTAACCGTTTTGTTCACTGCCAAATTTTGATTTCCATTCTCAAGAAACATATACAGGTCAGGAAGCAGCAATTATTTGGTTCTACTTTAAACATGTTTGCTATCACATTCTCACATTGGGACAATGCATACTTAATTGAAGCAAATTCATACAAACACCATCCGTTTTTGTCGGTGCTGATTGTGCCTACTCGGAGGAGAAAGTGGCCTGCTGCTTGCTGCCCTCATTTACTTGCTGCAACAATTAGGTTGTCATTATTTTCTGTTTCTTTTCCCTTGAGGCTTTATTTTTATGAAAGCACCACTGTAGTTAGCACTGAGGAATTGCAAAAGAAATTGGGGTGCTGCCATAGTGCTTTTGGGCATAAAAGTGAGCTTTGAGCTGCAGTAAGTATGTTAGTCATTCATCACATTCTAAATGCTGCAGGTGTTTGCTTATGGACCTTTTTATTTTTCGAAGTAATTTACTAGTGATGTAATATTCAATTGCTCCTATGTCATGGAGATTAATATACTATATCTTCTAATGTCCTCTTCTCCGTTTTAAATAGGTCACAGGCCAAATGTTTGAGCAAGGAGCTTCCGTGCTTTTTTAGATATTCATTACTTCAATTCATACATCATGAGTTATGGGTTCAAACACTACAAGCCGGAAGATATAAATGTAAAGCTACCAAACCGAACAGCTATTATGCGACTTTAGATGAGATAGGTGGATATTCTCACCAACTAAGTTTAGTTATTGAGGTAGTAGAGTGTTAAGTTAATTTAACTTGTTAGCCGGATTTGGACTATTTTGCTTGGGACAGTGGGTTACACATGTACATGATTTGCGACAGTCGCTTACACATGTACATGAATGAATACTAGTTGTCGATACGTAGGGTGCAACGGTTGAGAGTCACCCACAAGCACACGATTACTAGATGTCGATACAAGCAGCCTGATTGTGAGGCCAATGGTCGAAAGTCACACACACACAGATGGCCAACTGTCCCAAATGGGAGTTGACTAGAGGCACTGCTCCTTATTAGCCATATCCAGCACCACATGAAGCAGAGCAATTCTACAAGATATAACTTTTTTTGGTCAGACCATGAATGAAACTGCCCAGTCTGATTATCCAATACAAGACTGAAAATAAGTTTACAAAATAAATACTCAATTCTCCCAACAAGAAAAGCCTCTCCTTAACACACACACACACACACACACCACCCCTACCTCCCGAAAAATAAGGGGAAAAAAAACTAAAAAAGGCATCTACTAAAGTGCAAATAGAAAAAAAATTAAAATTAAAATTATCACGTCATCATTCCAAACGACCTAAACTGTCATACTCGTTAGCGTTTCTCTCAATCGTCATTTCGATAATCGCATAGCCCTTACGCACACTCCTCTCATCTGTTTCGAATATTCTTGGTATTCTTCACAAAAAACGCCATTCCTGCAAACCCCGAATCTGTCATGTCGCCTTCTGGCGACCTCTGCACATGCTTCGCCGGCGAAAATGGCGGTCCTAACGGCGACCACCACGAATCCGCCGATCCGAATTGTACGCATTGCAAGAAATCCGATCCGTCGCCGTCGTCGTTTTACTATTCTTCTTCGCTCGGATACGTTTCGGTGCCGTTGAGCGACTCGGAAAAGCTACGGCGGGTCGTAACTGCCTCAATCAAGGGCTTCACCATCGGAGCCGGTCTCAAAGGCGGGCTCGCCATTTTCTCCATCTTAGCTCGATTGAGACGACGAAAGCTCTTAGCCTCTCTCAGGTGAAGAACTCACTGAGCAACGAATTTTCAATAATTCAAATTTATGATAATTTAAGTAATGATTATTTTTATTATTCAGGAAGGAGGGTGTGATTACAAATAATGAAGCTATTGTTACTGCTTTGAAAGAGACATTGAGATATGGTCTATTTCTTGGAACTTTTGCTGGTACATTTGTTTCAGTGGATGAGATTATAGGTTCTTTGGCTGGTCACCGTAGGCAAGTTCCCTGTTCTTCCATGATTCAATTTCTTATTTTCTGCTTAAACTAAATTTCTGTTTGCTCTGACTTAATTGATGGGTTGGGTTATTACTTGTTACTCTAGTTCAGGACAGCCAAATGGAGGGCTTTGTTAGCAGGGGCTATAGCTGGGCCATCGATGCTTCTCACTGGCCTGAACACGCAGCATACGAGCTTGGCCATATACATACTTATGCGTGCTGCTGTGTTGGCGTCGCGGTGTGGGATTAAAAGCAAACGGTTAGGGGGCATTTGTAAACCTCTCACTTGGGCTCATGGTGACATTTTTCTTATGTGTCTCTCCTCTTCGCAAATTCTGTATGTACCCTTTACTGCAAAATGTTCCTTTTTAGTGCAAAGTATTGCTAACGATGGCATGAGTGCAAAATGTTCTCTTATGGTGCAATGATGGAAATGCACTGCCATATGTGGAAATCGATAAAACTTCCATGACCTTTGGATCTGTTTATGAATTCATCTTGTTGATCGTCAAAGCTGATTTTACTACTAAGTCACAATGTGCAATGAAAACTCTTAAAAAGTTTGTTGCTTTTGAAGTTACAATTTCTACAACCCTAATTATGATCCTCTGGTGACTGCTAACCAAACCTACCTAAAAGTTAATGGATATTGTTGCTGATGCAATTCAAAGTTTATGTTTTTTGCTTTTGGATGGTGTCCCATTCATATGCATCAAACTTAGAAATGTATGTTCAGTGTTTTATAGATTACTGAAGTCGTCAAGTTTTTCTGCTTACCATTAACTTTTAGGGTCTTTTGATACCCATTACTTTTCCTAGACTGTACTAAGACTAAAAGGAGGAAACAATTCGTTTCTCAGGTCTGCTTACATATTGAAGCAGGAAAGTTTACCTCCATCATACAAATCTTTTCTCAATAAACATGGTGGAAAGGATACAGTAATATTGCAAGGTGTAAAAGAGATTGCAAGTGGCATACCTTTTACTAATTTGGAAGCAATAGAAAAATATTACAAATCCATTGGAACAAATATTAAACTAGATCCAGCCATGGAAGTTCCCTGCTCGGTATGCATTCTACAATTATCATTCTACCTTTTTACTACCATGTGAAAATAATTTGCATTTGTTTGTCATTTTTATCAAAATTGTTTAAACTTCATTAACTTCAATCTTGTTATTTGAAGTCTTAAGCTTTCACAATTCATGCAGATTGTACATGGAGATCAGTCATGTAGTGCGCATATTATTTCTTTCCTAGTTCAAGCCTATAAGAGAGCATTACCAGTTTATCTTCCAGTGTATCTGATTCCCGCCCTTATAGTTCATCGCCAAGATCTCCTGAAAAGGTAATTCATATAATTTCCTTTTGATAATCTTTTTTCCTATACTGATGATGCTTTATGGAGATGTGGTCAAGTGCTATCATCTTCTAGTATAAATTTCCTGGAAAAAGAAGTTGAGAACTGAGGGGTGTTGAGATTTTGATATGTGGCTTTAGGTGTACCATAAGTCTTTTTGGTGGATAATCTGAAATGCCTTTAAGCAGTCCATGCATTAGTAATTTAGGAGCTTTCTTTTTGTTAAAATAAATTTATACTACTGGATAGCTTTTTGGTTTAGCAAGTATTTGATGGGAATGGGAATTTGATTCACTAATCAATTTGTGGCATGATTGACGATTTTAAATTGGAGCAATAGAAACATTTTGATTTACAGTTGTTTATTCCCTTCTTTTTTCCGTTGAAGAACCCGCCTGAGTTCTTGTTTCTTGATTTTCCCTGATGTCTTGTTAGAAGTTGTTTATAAACCATCACCCATTCTTTCTTATCATATTCATTTGATACATACCTATATGCATATTGCAATCATATAGTCGTGCCATGTTTGAACTTCTTTTTGCAATATACATATTGGATATTTGTATTTGTGTTAATGTAATCTTGGCTTTTGTCTGTTTTGCTCCTTATGTTTGCTGTTTATATGCAGGCATTACTCTATACTACTAAAGGGCCTTCTTGGTACTGCAAGATCAAGCTTGTTTCTATCCGTATATTGCTCATCTGCCTGGTTAGCAGCTATTTTCTTCTATCTCACATTCTAATGGTACCATTTACGTGAAACCTGCTGCTAGGAAAGTTGCCCACTTTATTGAATATGCATAGATGAGAACCTGGGAAGCGTCCAGAATCAGTTTTTAAAACTTAGGTCTTTCCTCATACCTCTGTGATAAGTTTTCAATATATCATTCTTCAGAAAAATTATTTTCATGGGGCATGAAGTCCAGATGTAGGGACTGATGAAAATTGAACTGAAACATAGTGCAATACATATACCTGTTTTTTTTTTTTTTTTTTTTCTGCAAAGCATAGGAAACCAGTGGATATAGAATACTCAAGGAACTCAAGACCAGATGAAACACTTTGGACCCCTAGAACTAGGTTACTAGATTTATAAACTCTGTTGTGCTTGTTTCCTTTTTCCTTCTCTGGGTTAATAGTTGCCTGGACCATCATCAGCAGGACGAATTTTAGAAAATCTGATATTTCAAGGGATAAATAAGTTGCTATAATCTAGTGATGTTGGACAATATCTGATAGGGAATCAGCTAGTCAAGTGGTCAGGCCCATGCCCACGTTGACTGGGATTCACTTCCTCAAGGTATCTAGCTATTTGCTGGAGTTTCCTGCCTTACAAAGATAGTAGGATTCAGCAGGGGCCCCAATTTCGAATCCAGGGTTGTGAAGCTGGTTTGGGTGATTTCTGGGTTTTTTTTATAAAATCGAAAAAAGAAAAGTTAAACTGGCATATTCACCACTATATGTCAGGTAAATAATTATATGAACTTGCATATTCAAATGGTAAATCATTGTATTTCCACCTTCTTGTTACTACTGATCACTTCAAATTTTGTTGAGAAAGTGGATTTTTCATTAGTTAAAAAGCCATCTCTTATTGTTCTTCAGGGCATGGACATGCTTTCTATTTAGGATTTTCAGGAGATGTAATATTCCAATGGTAGCAATGGGGACGGTATGAACATTCTTCAACTCTTTTAATTTGGTAGCAAGATGAATTTTATATCTTTGCTTAATCAATTGCATTGTTCGGCAGTTCCCAACTGGCTTGGCCTTGGCCATTGAGAAGAAAAGCAGGCGAACTGAGATTTCCCTCTACTGTCTTGCTCGGGCAATCGAGAGCTTTTTCACGTGCATGGCTGATACCGGATACTTGCCACCATCAACAAAAATGAAGAGAGCTGATGTTGTAATCTTCAGCTTATCCACGGCAATCATAATGCATTGCTATGCACAGGAGAGGGAAGTGTTCCGATCCAAATACTTGAACGTCCTTGATTGGGTTTTTGGCATCCCACCTCCTTGTGAAACCCCTCGCTGCCAAAAGAGTTAGGATGAAGTATCTGCCAATTTTCAGTTTGAAGAGAGATTTTCTTTTGTACTTCCTCTAAACCAAATGGAGGGAAAATTTGTATCATAGTTCAAACATTCTATTGCTGCCCTTCAATAACTTCATATAAAACGTGAGTTGTGTCTTCCTCATACTTGTTAGTTCTACATGACTCTTCAATGATTTAAGGCTTCAAGTTCAAGAGATAAGGCCACATTTTAAAAATTGTTTTAGCCCTGCTATGATTTTCAACATATCAAGATAAAACATAATAACTAAACAAAACCATAACATTCCAATTTATAGTGACAAAATCTGCAGAACAAAATCCATAATTTCAGTAAGTACAAGATGAGCAATGACAGTCCAATCCACCATGACTTGATTCACACTTCGTCTTCATGAAGTAGCATATTGGGTATTCCCTTAGAAACCGGGAACCGGCGACCAGTCTCGGGGCAAACAAGCGCACCCTCCTCGAGATGAAGCTCCAAAAGGGCATGATGGAACTTGCGCAGAAAATCTTCAGAATCAAGCCTAGAAGGCTCAACCTCCTCAGGGAGCTCGACATAGCCCAAAGTATGAGCGGCGCCGACGAGGGCCTTCCATTCGATCTTAGGGAACATGTTCCTAAGGAAATCAGCATTGAAGTCAACCTGCTTCTCCACGACCTTCTCTATTTCAATGCGCAAAGGGAAGCCGTTGGCCACGCCCTTGATGTTGGAAGATAGCATGTTGTGGGTTAGCAGCCTCATCTCTCTCTAACTATCTAGCCTAAACAGCAGTGATTTTTCCTTTCACTTTTGCTTGAGGACCTGAGGTCACAAGTAAGTAACAACAATTAGACCTAGCAATGTGTCGTGTTTTTGCAATTAGAATTGAATGTTTGCTCGTTCGTGCTTACGAAAAGTGTACGCAGTCAGACACAGCATGTAAACACACAAAAATTGGCTTTAAAAATCTTACAAGGAGGCGAAGAAAACAAATAAATAAAGCATCTTTGATCAAAGCTCTGTCCCTCTCATTCAGTACAATAAATTGCTATCAATTGATTAAACACTTCTACAGCTACAGACAGAGCGCAGAAAAAGGGCAAAGCACATAGGACAAGAGAAGAAGCTGAAGCCCTAAAATCAGACAAAGAAAATTGAACAATTGGAAATATAAGTTCATGCATACCCACCACAAAAACTGAACAATTCGTAAACTTAAATCATGTGCCTCTGATTTTCCAAAGAAGCAAAAAAAAGGGAGTAGGGGTAAGCTAAGTACCTCTGATTCTCCGAAGTTGGGGACTGAAATCTGGCCGCCGCCGGCAATGTAGAGAGAGATGGAGAAAGGGAGATAGAATACAGAGAGTCGGAGAGGAAGGTGAGCGTCTATGACAGTGAAGGGGAAAAGAATTAGGGTTTTATTAGATTGAAAAAATTACCCGAATACCCTTACTCTTAAATTGCTAATTTGAAAGGTACTAGGTGGCAGTGAAAATGGGTTTTCTTCTTTTTATCCAAAAAAAAAAAAAAAAAAGGTTTTCTTGTTCAATTATTCTAGGGTAAATTACTCAAATGGTCATCAAATTTATACTCGATTTATATTTTGGTCCATAAACTAAATTATTCATTCAAAAGGTCGACCAACTCTTTATTAATCGGCTGCGCTTTGGTCCTACCGTTACATTTTCTGTTAAATTTAGTCATGTGAGCAGCACATGCTACATTTGTGGAGGTAAATAAGACTTTTGACATATGTATCACGCATTTATCACCTATGTATCACCACTTTATCACGGTAGGACGGTTATGGATGGTTTTACCCTTACATTGGACGCAACATTAACATAATAAAATGGTAGGATCAATTGAGTGATTAATAAAGAGTTGATGGACCATTTGAACAAATAATTTAATTGAGAGACCAAAATGTAAATCGGGTATAAGTTTGAGGACTATTTGAGTAATTTAACCATTATTCTACTAACATATTGAAATTTTTTGAGAAAGTTTATGTATATTATAACTTAAAACTAATAAATATTACCATGACAGGGCAATGAGGTTATGTATTTAATTCCTCCTTCTCCCTGAGAAAAATTTAGATTGCTGCTAATTTAAACGAACCTTAAAATTAACTGAGTACACCCTATAATTTAAGTACACTCTAATATTTAAATCAAAATGTAAAATTAACTAAGTACGCCCTTTTTTTTTTTTTTTTTTGGTGACAAAAAGAAAGAGCACTAAGTACGCCCTATTTAACTACCAAAAATACCTTGTATACCTTAACACTTTATCACATCAATTATGCTACGAGCACCAACTTAAGTCCCAACTTTTAAATACCAACACATGTGGCACATGACATACAATACATCTCATTTGCCACTTCATATTTTAATTATTCTAAAGCTTTTGTTCTTCACATTAAAAGGAGTCAATTTGAACAAATATGAGTTTTTATTTGTTTCGTAATTTTTTTTTTCTCATCTCAATGGGGTTTTGATTTAGTCTTCAAATAATGAATTTGTCCAAATTGGTTCGACAGCAAGCCATATGGGTCTAATAGCTGCTACAAACTTGATTCAAATGAAAACTAATTCCTAAATGCCTTTTTATATTTGAACTTAAGCATTAATTATGAGATTAGAAATTTAGTATTGGACTTAAATAAAAAAAAATTAATTTAAAAAGTTACACACATGTTCCGGTTTGTAAGGTGTGAAACTGGCATCAGAATCGATTTGAATTCGTTAAGTGTCAATTTATTGACTTTTTAGTCAACACGATTTTTTTATATCCAATGCGACTTGGTTTTCGGTCTTAATGCCCATTCGTAATCACACATGTTTTTATTAGCTCCTAATTGTAGTGCACAATTTGATAGAATGTAGGTAGTGATCATGATCAATTTGACATTAAATAGGGCTCTCTTTTTTAATCAACGATATAAAAGAGGGCATTTTTTTAATCAACGATATAAAAGAGGGCAGTGTGTGGAGTGAGTGAATTATATGGTTCAAATTAAAACCCTCACCTGTCCAAAACCCTAAACCCTTATAAATACCCCTGGAAAAGCAGAAGTCAAATAAACACAAGAGAAGCCGAAAGGGGTGCAATTCGGCCCAGGTTTCTGTACCGTGTTTGAAAGGTTTTACCTTTTACATGAAATGCGCTAGAGTTAATGGGCCTTTTTCTCACCTTGGCAATCAGTCAATTAAAGGCCCATTTTGCTGGCTTATTCTCTAACAATGTGCCATTTATTAGGCGTAAGCGTTAGCAGCACAGAGACAGAGTCACAGACACAGACGATGCTGCAAAAGCTTCAGGCTTTTCCGACCCCTATGGCCTGCACTCTGTACTCAAAGTACAAGCTCCGGCCAATGCCATTCATGGCGCTTCCATCACTTCTCTGTAAGCCAATGCTGCGTTGGAGAGCAGCGATTGGTCCTTTAAGGCTATATATATATATATCTTGCACTCAGTTGGTAAGGCTAAAACCAATATTTTGTTTCGTGAGAATACAAGCCACAGAAATCTCAGTCCATTCACAGTTTCAACTTTCCTCTCTGTCTTGACATTTCTTTTTCTAGTTCACTCATCTCATCAGGATTCATGGCTGGGAAATGCTCTGTGTTTTTCAAGTTTTTGGTTCCTGGGTTCAACAAAAGACTTGTATGATTCTCTTCTCTTCGCTCTCTGTTTAATATATATGTGGGTTTCCAGGTTTATGTTGTTTTGAGTTGATCATATGCTTTCTCTTGACAAATCTAGAGTTTCTATGTCTTGGTAAATTATTTATTATAGGGTAAATTGGTGTTTTAAGTTGAAAGTTGAATAAAGAATCGTGTTTTCAAAGGCATGCTTTAGCGCGTGTCGGAGTACGAATCGGAGTGAGGCGGAAGGATATTGCCTGAAGCGTTCATCTATTTAGCAGGATACACGTGTAGTGCCGTGAGGCGTGGACAGGCGTGGCAACGTGTGGTGAGGCACATGAAGGGCCGCTGTTTTGCAAGCGGCCGCGAGAGGAGATAACCACGCGTGTTTTCTTCAGGTTTCGTTGGTAATGAAACGCCTTCGTTTCATATAGTTAATGAAACGCCTTCGTTTCATATAATTAATGAAACACACGTTTAGCACTGAGGTTACTTAAAGAAACTGACGTTCAGCATGCCTTTTTTATTATTTTAAATTCATGATTTTTTGTTTTCAACAAACAACGCCTCCACTGAAACACCACTACTTACCCCTTTTGTTCCTTTTTTTTTCTTCATAAATTAATATATTAACATGGATAAATATATATATATATTTATTCATTTATTTATTTATTTATAGTATAACCCTAATATATGAACTGAATTGTGTTTTTTTTTTAATGTTGAATAAATATTTTAGATTTAGGGATTGATTATTATACATGAATGAGACCATTAGTACTTATATTTGATAACACTTAATACATTATTAGGGTTCAATAATAATTAGTAGTATAATTTAATTGTGTATTGTATTATTTATCAAATTATTTATTAAAATAAATTAATGTTCAAAAAGCTAGCGCGAATAAAAACACTTTGTCTCTACGCCTCGCCTTTCAAAACATTAAAGATGATGCATGCAATTATTAATATGTTGATATGCTTTTGGTTTCAAACATATTTTTTGGCACATTGTAAGTGCAAAACAAACTACTATAGTTACTTCCGGCCTTGCAAACAATATTGATGTTGAACATATTGGCACGCAATCTCCAACTAAAAGTTTTGTCAGCGGGAGTGTTCAAAAGATTGGTATCTCAAATGGTCATATGAGACTTTTGATTCAATCAATCAGTGGGAGGAAAAGGTTAATTTGCAGTTGTTCCATTAAATGTTCCTAGTCTTCTCGTGTTAGACTTATCAATAATGCGTACTGCTGATTATGCAGTTTCTGATTTCTGATGTACATTGATTTGCAGCTTAACATAGTGCTTACATATATTTTGTTATAGTTGGTTTGACTGTGATTTTAATGTTTTGATTGAAAATACATTATTGAGTTCAACTATGAATTCATCTTCAGTTTTAGTGGATCAATATGATAGGTATACAATCTTCTTTTGTGGCGTATCATTTTGTCTGCAACATGGTATTACTTGTTTGAGTGTGTGTGTGTGATTATAGAATGCAGATGCAGTTGAATTTGCATCCTGTTTTCTATAGTTCTGATTTGGACCTTGAACAGTTGTTACATGGAGGTAGTTTATATTAGATTGTAGCCGTAGAAATAAAGAAGTTTATTCTATAAAAGATTGTTTATTTTGAGAATCGTGTGCAGGTAGTTTATGTTTATGTAATGAAAAAAAGGGATGTAAGGAACAGGGTAAAACAGGCGTGATGATTTTAGATGGTTCAACTTCACATGCCTTGCTTTCAAATTAGACTTACATTCCCAATATTTTTCAACTATGTTTAACGGTACGCACCCATTCCCTTTATTTTGAAATTAGGGTATATCCACCAAAATCCTGATGCTTTTTCCTTCGAAAGTACTTGTGGCATCTACCACATCTTACTTAAGGATTTGCTTCTTGCATTTGGACATCCCATAAAATCTGATTGTAGGTCCATCCATTTTAACGTGTAAACTGTTTATACTTTTCAGTAAAATTGAATGATTAGGATTGTGGCCTAATATTTTTGTTCTACATATGAACAGTCACTTCCAGTAGCTTTCTGTAGTTCTCTGAGTGAAAAGAAACTGGAGAAAGCAGTTATTAAAAGCTGCTTGGGATCTTGGTGTGTGAGACTTGGCAGGAGTGTTGATGGAGTACTTTCTTTTGAAGAAGGTTGGGAAGTTTTTGTGAACCATCACGGCCTGAACATTGGAGAAATGGTAGTATTTGAACACAAAGGCAAAATGGTGTTCAATGTGGTTGCCTATGAGTCACTTGGTAGTGAGAAAGAGTATGAACTGCAGAGCGACAAACACCAGCATGATTACAAAGGTGGGTTAAATTTAAAATTCTCTAGCATTTCACACAAGAATGGCAGTGGCATATTAATTTTCATTTGCCTTCATTTCCCACAAGATTTACATCAGGTTACACTCAATATTTATGCTTTTGATAGGATTGCACCCTCTTAATTATAGTGAATGTTGGGTTGCATCTAATGTGGGTTGTTCCTTGGACTATTTTCAGGAAAAAGAACCTTAAAAGGAACTGCATCCTCAAGCTCAAGGACATTGTTCAGTACCATGATGAGTAAAACCCATGGGGATCCTCTTCGTGCTTATATGGTAAGTTTTCTAACTTCTCTTTGCCTGTATGAAGTGTGTCATGTTATTATTTGCATATTATTGAAGTTAAAAAATTTCATGATGTTCACTTCAAGCACACTTCTTGAGTCTGGAGTTTTAGTGGCAAAGCCCTAGGCAGAGTTGTGAAATTGGTCTGTTTGTTCAGGGTTGAGTTGCAATCCTTACAACTTTTTTCTTTTTTGGATTTTCTCTAAATTTGGTAGTTGTTTTATGACAGACTTTTCCTGCGAACTTTGCAAGATCAAATGGCATTGTGGACACATCCAGAATCTTTCTCAAAGACCCGTCTGGAAGATCATGGCCGCTGATCATAAGCAAGTGGGAAAGCAAAACCAGGGGTAGTTATCGTATAGCTACTAGAAAAGGATGGTACAAGTTTTATGAAGCCAACAAGCTCAAACATGGGGATGTCTGCATATTCAATCTCAAACCGGTATCATCTAAGTCAGGTTCAAAATCAACTCGTGTCTTGGAAGTCCAGATAACCCGAGGTGGATCCTAGTCCATTGGTCAATTTGTTGTTGTCTTTCAGATTTTGAACAAAGATTATCAAGCCAGAAGCATGTAACTTTGATGGCTGAAACCTCCTTTATGCTACTTTCGAAATTGTAATTCGGATTTCTGTTATTTTTAGTTTGTTCTTTATACACGCCATACTCTAAACTATTATGATATCATTATTTAATCATGGTTTATTTTACACTTTACTCTCTAAAAATTAAAATGAATTTACTTTTGTCGAACCCACCTCACTTTGAAATTAATTTGCCTTCACCACATTCACATGCCTGCTTGGCCAATGGTAAAAACAACATATATATATATATATATATATATACCATATTTAAATTTTGGTTTTATAAACAACAATTAATTGATGAATGATTACAGAAAAGAACATATAACAACTTGAAAAATTAGGACAATAACATTTGTGCTTGTTGTCCCTATAATTACTGTCCGGCACCGCTTCTTCCTTTCTTCACACTCTCTCTACTCAATCATACCTGCAAGCAATTCATTCACCCAGTCGTCACTAAAAATTACTGCACCATGCAACTAATTAAAAGTCTTTTTTTCTTTTTTTTTTCTTTTTTTTTTTTCAAATTTTACTTCCTATCGTGAACATAAACATCGCTTTCTACATCATGTGGTATAAAAATGTAGTCTTCGTAGCATGCATTTCAACACAAATTTAAGCCGAATTAAGCATGTTGGAAACCAAGAGGAAATTGGAGCTATATCTTCCAAGTAAATTGGATTTGGAAATCTTATGTATATGGAACCCAAAGTAATATTGCAATGGCAACTGTCATCATTCATAATTTACATACCGATAAACTAGAAAGTACCCCAACACTATTGATCTTCTCTGGCTTGATATTAGCTTGATATGAACATCCACCACTTGTGTAGAGCAAACCCATAAACTGTGGCATAAGCAACCAATCTCATAGGATTTTTTATAAATCTGCAAAAGGGAGAATTGTCTCTTAGGTTACAAGTCAAACACTCCGGACTACCTAAATTTAGTCCATGAATATACTTGTGATTAATAAAATAGGCAAACACAGTTTAGATCATTGAAATACAATGTGGTAGACCCTATAAGAGTGTCGCTCAAATCAAATAAACTTATTTGAGGAACCCCTCTATATATGTGTGTGATATAACGTACATACGTAAAATATACTTAGATTGTATTCGTGTGTAGAAAGAAGTTATCATATAGAAGTGAGAACAAAACAAATGTTAATTACTATATTGCCCTGAAATTTTAATTTTATTGTTGCTATCATTAAATTTTTGTACTCTTAACACTTGACAGACAATATTTTCTTAATTCTCTCATTGAAAAAAAACAACATTTTCTTAATAACAGTATTGATTAATAAGTTGCTGCAAGTGGGTTTGTAGCTCAAGTAACCAAGTAAAATATGATCATGCTGGCCGAATTTTGGGCTGGTCTAGTCCAACAGACCTTAAGTTGATGGGCCAAACAACGATCCCTAATTTTGTTTGTTGATGTTTTACTACTTAATGATGACCCTAAGCTAAACGCATAAACATCAATCAATTGTTCACTAATATTCTTCCACAACAAAATCACAACTTTCAATTGAAAAACCAGTAAATCTCACATGTCCGAAAAAATAAAAATAAACTGACCTTCTAATTAACCCAGATCTTTGAGCAACTTCAGAGGCTCTTTCCTCGGCTGAAACCGGAGACGTCCACCGCGAAAAGTCTCGGTCAAAGTAACCCCAATCGGGCAAGAGCAACCCAGAAATACCCAGCACACCAACCACGTAAGTTAACAACATCTTCTTGAAAGACTCTGTGCATACTCCAACTACCACTATAACTGCAGCCAACCAAACCAGAGAGGCCCTGAAAACGGCATCGTTTGCCATGGGGTGGCTTGATGAAAATGACAAAGTTGAAGTAGGGGATGAAGGTGAGTGAGAGAGTACTAGTGTGGGGAAGGAGGAAATGGGCAAGAATGGGTGGTGGTGCCAGCCACACAATAGTCTCTCTCTCTCTCTCTCTCTCTCTCTCTCTCTCTCAGAGTCACAGTCTAAGGATTTGCGTCAAATTAATGGCAGAAGTGGTTAGAAAATGCTTTCAATGCGAACCCAGCTGTTGTTATAAATGCATTTTTCCTTTATGTTTACCTTCTCTTTCAGTTCGGGGCTTAGCTGTTATTTGCATGGGGAATGCCACGTAATGCCCATTTCTTCATTTGTTGTTATTTGTTTTATTAGTCTCTAAATTTTGACCTAATTTGTATTTGAATTCCTCAATATACAAAATCGTTCTCGTAGTCCTTCAACTTTAGTTTTATTAGGACAAATGGTCCTACCGTCAACTTTGTTAACCTTTTCTGTTAAATGCAGGGGTAAAATTGTATTTTTATTTATTTTTAATTTCCAATTTCTGAATATTCCTTTTACCCAAAAATTAAAAACTAAAAATTAAAAAATCTTATTCCTATTCTCAGTCAAACTAAAAATTAAAATTAGTTCTTGTTACTTGAATTTTTTATATAAATATTTTATTCATATTTTAATCAATTCAAAAATAAAAAAATAAAAAAACCATTATATCCTTGCATTTAATCGAAAAGTTAACAAAATTAACGGCAAGATCATTTGTCCTAACGAAACTGAAGTTAAAGGACCATGTGAACAATTTTGAAAAATGAGGGACTCAAATGTAAATCGGGTCTAAGTTCAAGAACAAATAAAAAGAATAACCCTCATTTTTTTACAATTGAAAATTGAGTCTTGTTGAAACTCCACAAAAGCTTGATGGGCTTGGGAGGGGTTTCTATTCAAGCCCATGCATGCCTTGCATATCTTCAACTTGAAGGGTTAAAGCTCATGTGATAGACTCAAAAGGATTTTGATTCTGAAGTAAAGGAATGAGATCGAAACCCTTTAAGAGCTAACTGCATCTTGATTTCACAACCGAAATCCTTCCAATTAATCAATGAAAACTTTGGTTTGGTATGTAAAAGATTATTTGGTTTCATCGCAATGTAGTACGTAGCATAAAAATGAAGTGAATTTCGATTTCATTGAAGGTAAAAACACAAACAAAAAATCTTATCCTACATTTACAATAAGTTGAGAAGTTTTGATTGGAATAGGAAAACCTAATTGTGTCCTGATCAGAAGAGGAAATGTTTGGGAACTTAAGAGGAGCTTATTGAGTCTGAATTCAACAGGTGTCCATTGATTTGTCCAGGCTGGATGGGGAGCTTTTGTGTGAGTCTGGTTGGAGTTAAAGGGAGATGTACATGATTGGCGATTGGGCCCAATAATTATTTGTCGTTTGCAAACTCATTTCAGAAAACAAATCAGTTGGTTAATTTGACAAGGAAAGCAGAGATAATTTATGATAATAAGTCAAGCTTAGCTTTCATCGCTGGCCTTTCCTTATTTACAAATAATTGGTCACCCGACGAGGAACATAGGCTGGAGGATCAAAATTTGTGTGTGTAGGAATCTTTTTTTATATAAATAAGGCAATAATTTTGACATTTTTCTTGGTTTAGCTTTATGATGCTTCAAATTGTATATTTTATAAACTTTTACGCACTTATAAATAAGGAGCTAAACAAAGCTAAATTAGGAGTGTCAAAATCGTTACTCTTAAATAATGCGAGCTAGCATAGCTAACTAGAAGGTTCAAAAATGGGATTGCAAGTTCATTTATTAAAGAGGGGGAAATTGCATCTTAGGCATCAAATAAAGCAAATTCGTAGACAAGTAGAAGCTACACTTTATGCCATGCCAATGGCAGTCGTTAGTTTCTTAACTTTTACTCAGTTTTGGTGCTCATATATGAAATAAGCACTCATAATGTAGGTTGATTAATAGAGATACAAGGATTTTATTATTATTATTATTTATTTTATACAAGCGATACTTTACTTTAAACTAATCTAAACTACGAGGAGGGGAAATTCAAACTCAGGTGCAATGCAGAGTGGAGAGCACATTTGCTCTAGCCAACATAGCTAAGCCCCATATCCATCTCTAAGATTAAAGAAATTGGTTAGTTTATTAAGAAGCTGGACTTGTTGGGTACCTTAAATGAATATACCTTCAAAAGACAATGGCTTGTACTAGAAGATAACCTTTACTTTAGTGGTTGATTTACAGAAGAGAAGTTTACCAATAGCAAGGGAAAATGTGCATAAGAAACCAGATGAATGACGACAAGCCACAACAAATCCCATGGAAATGGAAGAGTTTCTCTCAAGCGTGTAAAGAATGTCTTGTGTGTCGCACACAAAAAAGAAAAAGAAGAGAAAAAATTGGTTCAAATTTGGGGCATTTGCTGCACCAACTTCCCCTCTAACTGCCCCACCCTCCAAGTCAAATGGGCCATATTTGCACATTTTCTACTGTCCCTTTCTACCAATTATATACACCCATGCCTACTGACACCAATAAATTTTTGGTCTTTTCTTTTGAAATAAATAATTTTAATTATATTTTATATGTTTGTTTCTGGGGTTGAATGGGGATTGGTACACATTGTTTTCAAGGATTTTTCTAATTTCTGATCACCTGATTGATTTGAACTAAAGCATTGAGAAACAATTGACAAGTGCCATATTATAATTGTTTGTATAGGCACCATCAATGAGGCCAACTTTGTATGCATTTTTTCTTCTTCTTTTTTCTCTAGAGAAATGATGATCATGTAGGATGGTGCGGCACAACTCAATTCTTGCATCCAAAGAACCAGCTAGGTTCAACATCATTCGTACTTAGTGGTTGTATCTTTATGACTAATTTATATGAATTTTCAGATATTGAAATAGTTTATTTCAAGATTAATATATATACATACACTATTTTTATCTTTTTCGTAAATCACAACAATTCATTAATATTTGAATTTATACCTATAGATATATACATACATAATAGAACTTGATTTATGGTTTGAGGCTATTAAGAGAAATACATGATAATTTAAGAGTGCTGCTAAACGAACCCTAAAATTAACTGAGTACACCTTATGATCTAAGTACACCCTAATATTTTAATTAAAATGTAAAATTAACTAAGTACACCCTATTTAACTACAAAAAATACCCCTGGTACACCCTAATACAATCTAATCACACACCACCCTAATTCCAATCATAAATCAGGTTTCTCTTTTTACATGAATTCGTTCCCTCTTTTCATTGGGTGGTACTTGAAACAAGATCCTTGTACTAAAATAGACTGACAAATCCTTTTACTGGAACCAAGTAATACGAAAACTTCTCAAAGTTTGATTAGGGCTGAAGATGGTGAGTATATTGTACTTATTAAAATTGAATTTGTTTCACAATTCAATATATCCTTTTTGGTCATTTTATATTAGGGTAAATTAGTAATTGAATAAATAGTTTGGTAATATGGTGTACTTAGTTAATTTTAGGATTCGTTTAGCAGTACTCTAATTTACTTAGTCAAGATAATGATCATGAAATCTAACTAACATAATGTTGTAATATATGGGTAACAAGACACAAGAGCGTGGATCTATTTATCATACCTTCGGACAAAAATTAACCGTAAGCGTCATATATAGTCGGAGAGTATAGCGAGGAAACATTTTCCTATGTATCATATGTAGTTTAAATTTATACATAAATAATCACTTATTGTTGTAGATACACTACGCCTAAGGGCTAAAGGTCTCATAGAGTTGAAGACGTAACGAGCTAAAACCTTTCGTGAAGCCATGCAAACGATGACGGCAATGCCTCTTCTTGCGTGCATGGATCGAGTTTGACAAAGAAGCGACCTGCAACGTTGACGTTATGATTTGAAAGTTTCACTCATTTTCAGCTTTGGCATTAAAAATTAATTCGTAGGGAAACATAGAAGCCCTTGTGCTAATTATTTTGTGTATAAATAGGCAGCCACAGTTTTTTTCTGGAAGCAGATCAACTCAAGAAGCAATACATTTACAAATTGAAACGGAATGGGGAGATCTCCTTGTTGTGATGAAAGTGGCCTCAAGAAAGGACCCTGGACTCCAGAAGAGGATCAAAAGCTTGTGCAGTACATTGAAGAACATGGCCATGGAAGTTGGAGAGCTCTTCCAAAGCTTGCAGGTTTGCTTAATCAAAGCCTCTCTTTGTTGATAAATTTGGTTGGTTTACTGGCTTAAGCTCACATTAAGACTACCCCTCGCATGTCATTAAGATTTGTTGGTTTAAAACTGTCTCTGAAAGCTTGATTTAAAGGCCGGTGTCAGTCCAAAGTGTTCTTTGCTAGTTTCTGTTTTAGTTTTCGGGTTCGTCCCGCCTTGTAACCAAACAAAAACACAAAAGCTTGATTTAAATTGCTATGGTTTTCTCTTTTGTAGGTCTCAACAGATGTGGCAAGAGTTGTAGGTTAAGATGGACAAATTACTTGAGACCTGATATCAAAAGAGGCAAATTTACTGAAGATGAGGAGCAAACAATTCTACATCTCCATTCAATCCTTGGAAACAAGTAATTCTTTAATCCAATCTCTTTTTTTCAACGACCAAACCCATCAAATTTTCAATATGTTTGACTATTTGAACTTACTCTTTATATATCTATGCTTTTGTTTGCAAGATGGTCAGCAATTGCAACACACCTAGATGGCCGAACTGACAATGAAATCAAGAATTTCTGGAACACCCATTTGAAGAAAAAGCTGATCCAAATGGGTTTTGATCCAATGACCCATCAACCAAGAACCGATCTCTTTTCCGGTTTGTCTCAGCTTCTGGCCCTAGCAAACCTGCAGGACCTCATGCAGCAATATCAGCCGTTAGATAATGATCAGCATGCTGCAACATTACAAGCAGATCAAGCTGCTCAGTTGGCCAAGCTTCAATACATGCAGCATTTGCTCCAATCCGTAGCCTATATAAGCAGTGGTGAGAATTATAGCCAGAACAGAAACACAGCTGACACAGACATGGAGGCTTTCAATTTGTTGAACTCACTTGTTCCTTCTATCAAAGAAAACCCAATTTTAAATTCATCTCAGCTTGAAAATCCTAGCTCATTTTCTCTTGGATACGGTGGAACTTCTCAACCACTCCACCATCAAAGCCTACTGCCTCATGACCCACAAGTCCCTTTCAGTTCTCTACCATCTTTGAATAGCAATCATGAAATGGGCTCCAACTATACAATGGTCAGCCAAGAAGACAACCCACCTCATGATCATGATGACTCTCCATGGTTTGATAATCTTCTGTCTCCTGCTCCTAATTCTATTCCTCCGACCATGACCGGGATGTCGATTAGCAACCCGGGAGGAGATGTCTGCTGCAGCACTTCAAGCTATGGAGGTAGAAGTAGTGGTTCTTCTTCCTACTGGCCTGAACTCTTTCTTGAGGACGCCAATTATGGTTGAGGGATTCTTAGTTAATTACTATCATAGATTGAGAAAGATTTGGTGGTTGCTGCCTTTGTCGTTGATCATTATTAATTCTTACTTATTCCATGCATTTGCATGTGTAGATACCGACATACAGATATGTGTGATGTAATGCATATCTACGTACATTTATTTGTACACGTACACATCTTATATATGTTTATGTGCATTGTATTATATGTACATTATTTGGGACTAAGTATCATGGAATATACTTTTTTCACATTATAATGTGATATATCATATCATATTGGTATTACTCAAAGCAAATATGGGAACTCATGATCCTGGCAAGGCACGACTATAATAAGGTCTACTTTGATCGCAGGTAAACAAGCGTGGCTGGGGAATCTTGTAATTAGTGGATTGTGGCTATGCAATTAGTCTTCTTTTTAGAGAGAGAGAGAGAGAGAGAGATGTACAGTGAGAGAGAAACAAAATAATATAATTTCACTAAAATCAATTATGTGTGGGCGATTTCTGACCGATAATTTAAGCGGCACACATAAAAACATAATTCAAACATGCATCCTGCATTGGTAAGCTGTTCAGAAGACATTGGTTGTAGGACCCGAGTTATGCCGTGTTTGTGTCATGTCATTTACTTGCATCGAATTTGACAGGGACACTAACTCAACCTGATTCTTGCAGTTAAATAGTTGGTCATGGTTGTCAAAGCAACATAGAAAATGAAGGTTGATTAGGTTTCTTCCTCCCTTTTTCTCAATTCAAAGAAATAAATTTCACCACCTAATCCCATCCCATGGTTGTACACCATTCGACGTTTCTTATGTCATGACGATCATGTTAAAGACGTTTCTTAGGTCATGACAATTAATCATGTTCAACAAGACTTTTTTAATGTCCAAACAATGCATGGAAATGGTGGCTACAAGTGGCAACTAACAAAGACAGGGATCTTTCTTTCAAGCAGAATAAATCAAATCATATTGAAACAAGTTTAAGACTGCACTCTGGGATCTGTGTAAATATGTTTACCTCCTTTATTCTAGGCTTTATTGGAACTCTGGGATGCTACTCTAGGAACTCAACTCTTCACCTAGAAAAATACAAAAAAGACGAATAAAAAGCAGTGCAATAATGCAATGCAATGGGATCTTGATGAAACATAATTAGTTTTTTAGCAACATCACAAGACAGGTTTAGTCAACTGTTCCAGCAGTGCCTACTCGATGCCAACACTCCTAATGATCTAGGGCTAACTTAGCCATTTTTTACAGGCTAGTTTAGCCTTTGATCCTTTAACTAGCAAATACTAAATGTTTCATTTAGTATTGAATAGATTGCCTAGGGAAAAGAGAGAGCTGTGATTGTCATTGACGATCACGACTACATGCGAGGAACTGTCACTAACACAACTATCTAAAGTTCAAGTTTTGGAAAAACTACTTTGGGGAATTAACATGAAGTTTGACAAGCAGTTCTGATTGCTATAGATGATACATATATATCATTCAACATTGACATGAGATACTTAAATCAAAGTAATTTACAACTTCTGCTATAAGGTCGTACCCCCACCATCTGACATGAGAGATGCAGCAGCCGCAGCAGCAGTAGGAACAACCCCAGTTGAAATGCCCGGTTTTGACAAATGCAGGAGCCTGAGAAATCAATTCCAGGTGAATGAATATGTTGTCAAGTAAACAAAATTTCAATATATAGTCATCATAAACCTTAAAATCAGTTTTCCTATATGCAATCTATATGCACTATTGAATGCCTCGTCATTTATAATATGATCAACAACGGTGCAAGAAATATTCAATTGGGACCCTTTGGACTGTTGTGGATCACCCAATGAAGACTTATTTATGAAAAAGATGATAGAGGATATCCAGCCACTAGATATACAAGACAAAAATGGACTAGCCTGTTCGGTTTTGAAGCGTGGACCACAGGGACCCCTAGCCATGAGGCATAGATCAACAAGCTTATGTGTAGGTATGTGGGCTTTAATGCTTTTTTATAAATAAATAAAAAAGTAAGGGGAAAAAAAAACTTACGGTGCAAGATATTCACAAAAAGATGATACTGCAGCTACAACTTCAGTATAGTTTTCAGATGTAGCAGGGGCTGTCACTTCTACCAACTGTATCCCGGGAGTTACAGGGACAGCCTCATCTGTGGCATGCAGTTGTAGCATCTTATTAACGGATGACACAGTCACAGTGATCTGTGTGCCCCTCTGGAAATGGAAGGCAAATCCCACCCTCAGAAGCTCATGGTCCAACTTGTAGCCAAGTGCATAAAATAAGCGAAGCACATTCTTGCTTGCTTTGCTTTCGACCATGGTTCTTACTAGAACTGAAATTTGCTCAGCACCTGCACCTCTCATTGCACCTCCTATATGCCTTACGGTCCTACATAATTCAGAATTCAGAATTTGGCATAGATACAATCATATGTATGTGTGAAACACAAATTCCCACGTGTTAACAAATATGACAAGGCAGGTTTTTAAGTCTTACCATGTTGGTTCAGTTTGCTCAAGATTGCATATAAGTCGAACCTCTGAAGCTACAGCCCCTATAGAAAGTAAGATCATTACTAGAATGGCCTACAAAATAATTTCTTTCTGTGCTATTCAGCTGATATATACTGAACCAGACCACAAGTTGTTGCAGCAATCAATACAATATAACACTGTTGCTAATTATAAAAATCTTCAAAGAAAATCCATCTAACCATCGCATCAAGGTTATTAATGAAAAAATGTGAACTTAAGAGTCACAGAGGAAAAGTACCAAACAGATTAAAAAAATAACGGGCTGCAATGAAAATTTATTTAAGCACACCAGGGAAGGCTTTCAACATCTCTTTAAAAGAGTCCATAAAAGAGGAGAATTGACTATTCTGACTTTGGCTTAATTGTATAGAAAATGTGCATATTATTCTAGCCACACAGCTCAATATGAAAAGATAAAAAGAATTGAATTACCAAGGTTCGGGCCACTTTTAAGACATATCTCATGGAGCCTCAAATTTTCTCTGCGAACACCACAAAGACCCTGAAGAAGAATCTCAAGGGCCTCAACATGCTGCAAATGAAAACCATATTTTAGATGCAGCTACAGAAACTACCCACATATGGGGGAAAAGGGGTTCTTTTAGGGATCTATTTCCAATTGTGAACAAAATAGAGTCCATAATCATGAATAACTTGTACATGCAAGAAAACAAAAACTACTCAATAAAAAACCAAATATAGATTTTCTTCCTTTCTCGCATATTAACCTCAAATGAACAATTTGGTAAACATGGTTAGAAGACATGTGTCAAAAAGTGAGCTCTAAGCAGAAGATTCAATCTTTCTCCCCTAGCAGCAATACACAGATGTGCTATCAAGTGATCAGAATTTAGAGGCATTTCCAGAAATTGTATAACAAAATGTAAGCCTAACCCAAACCCCACATTATCAAAGTACTTACCTGTGTTTCTATAATTCCCTGAACCACGCACTCCATCAAGTTGGTACAGTTGATCTAAGAAAACCCAGTAAACTCTTTTTAGAAAATATGTAGAATTGAAGGGAAAAACATCAAGAAATCAAGCATAAACTTCTGAGGGATGATTACGAATCAAAAATACTAACCGGGTGGTTGCAGCTCCGGCGCGACAGCAGCAAGCTAAAAGAAATAGAGAAAGAGGAGGGGAAAAAGTTCAAAACGTTAGTGACCCAGAGAAAGGAGAGAAAAAATTTATACTGCTTTTTCAGCTAGACATTGGGTTCCAATTTTACCCTTCATCAAATTAAAAGAGAAAAATAACTGTGTCACAGCCTCCCACCTCCGTCCAGTTCACAGTCCCTCCCTGTTTGTATTCCTTTCCCCAATCCTTCAATCTCCTTATCTAGGTTGCTTTCATCTCCCTCAAAACCTCCATATCCTAGTTCTCTTTATCCAACTTTGCTCTCAATCCCGCAATGCCTTGACAAGAGATGATCAGATACACGCATTCAGAAAGATGTGCAAAGCAAACTTAACCCAAGAAATTCTTGATTGGAATGTGATGGTAAAAGCCAACTATTAAATAAAGTGATTCTCAGAGAGCGAGAGAGAGAGAGAGAGATGAAGGAAAAGAAGGGGAGGGGGCAGCAGCGCCAGGGGGCAGAGGCACTGCAGCCGATGTCTGCAGTCGTTTCTTTCTTTTTTTGTCTTAATTTTGTTCTAAAGGGTAAAATTGACACCTAATGTCTAGCTGGAAAATAATTTAATTATTAGAGGATAAAAAGACACGTGTTAATATGTGAGTGGAAGTATCATCGGTTGATGTGGTGATACATATCATTCTATAATTTCTCCAGAGAAAGAGAGAGTGCACAAAAATCTTTGTTGGGTATAAAATTGTTTGGGCCTTGAAAAGCCCATTTAAACGCTTTATGTAAGAGGAAATTTAACATCACTGATAGGATTTGAAATTAAAAAATTCGAAAGAAAAGGATACCTCAGATTTTGGCTGCTGCTCCTCTTCAAACTACGATTGAACAAAACCCCACAAAAATTCGAACCAGAGAAACAGAAATTGGTTAGATACGAAGGAAACTTGGGAATAAGGAAGCCTTCTAGTGAATGGGTATTTGGGGAATTATCTGAGAAGCTGATATTTAAAGCGATGAGTACTCGTACCTACTTATGATTTTGAGCAAAAATCGTAGATTTGGTGAAGACGAAGCTCGACGATTTGACAGTTGAAACGACGAAGACGAAGACCTGGTGCTCCCGTGTTTTTGGGTCTTAATTTGGGCTGGACTTAATTAAGAGGACTACATTAAGCCCACCTAATGACGTTCTAAGCCTACCTAATCCAGGTCTTATTGGTAAATAGTCCGATCCATGTCCTAATCCGGTCTACCAAACGTGTCCTAAAAATATACATATAATTAGATTGGTTCGGTTTAGTTGGATTTTTATCGGAACTCATAAGAAATAACATAATTGAAATCTGTGGAATTGAATTGCTTGACTGGTTTAATTGATCTCATTTGATTTTATTTATCTAAATATGGAGATTTGAACTTGAAATCTCTTCAGCAAAATAATGTAGCTAATAATTTGATTTCAATGCTAAGTACCTCTATTGGCAGCGCAAAAATGAGTGATAATAAATAGGTACAAGGATGGAATGAGACTTTGATTAGCCAAAAAATTGTAGTAGGAATGTAGACATTTCTACATTATGTTAGGTTAGCTTTTTTGGTAGAAGATGAAAAATAAAATAAACAAATTTGTAGGTTTTAAGAGGTGGTCCTGCCAGCTTGTAAACAAAATGCAAGGGGACAGAAGCGGTACAAAATATCAAAATAATTTGGAGCATTTTAGATTTGGTACACAATTATTAGTAAGGTTGAGCTGACCTTTCAACAACAATTGTGATTTGATAGATGATTAATCAAAGTTCAACTCTCCTGCTGGCAAGATTGGATCAATAATTGATTAATATAAATAAATAAAAATAAAAGTATTGAGTCTAAGCTCAAATTGTCAAAACCAAACTACGATTTCTCTATTAGTTTTAGTTTAAATTGAACCAAATCGCACCTAACGATTTTTCGGTGAAACCAATCCAAATGAGAATCTGTCCACCCTATTACTTCCTAATAAGCCATTATACCCTTTAGAGCTTTATCGAAAATCTCAATTTACCTATGACCTTGTAACTGGGTCAATATGCCCTATGTGCTTTTATTTTGTGTCTCAAATTGTCCCATTCCGTCAATTTGATCATTGACATTGTTATATTGCTAATGTGGCATAAACATTTTATTAATTTTGTAATTTAAAATCCAAAAAAGATTTAAAACATTTTTTAAGAAGCTACAATTGTATAATAAATAAATAAAAGTTACAAAAAAAAAAAAAAAAGACTTTCCACAAATAGGCCCATTCCAATATGACATGTTATACAAAAACTCTTATAAAACCTATTTGGAGGAAGAAAAAAAAAATCAAAACTAGCTAATTGTCATTTTCTAATTGGTTGTTATAATATTTTAATTAAATTTATGTTTTAGCCACAAAAAAAACTTTCACTTTTGAAAAAAGTCAAACAAATTTCAAAAAAGACAGAAAAACTCCTCAACTTTCAAACTAAAGACATGCAAATGTAAAAGATTCCTTAGGAAATCCAAAAATAAATGAGGGCATTTTTGTCCATTTTTGTTTATTTTAAAAATATTTCTCTCTCATTTGGCCTTTTCCAAAATGTCCCAAAATTTTAACACAACTAATTAGAAAATGACAAGTTGTTAGTTTGGGTTTTTCTCTCCAAATAGGTTCTATATGGATTTTTTTTTTTAATATGCCATGCTAAAATAGGTTTTAGAATAAATATTTTTAAAAGAATCCAGCAGCCCCTCCTCCCTTATCTCCCCAACCATCCCATCACAGCCACCTTCGACCCCTCCCCAGCCACCCCGCCGCAGCTCCACAACAACCCACCACAAGCCACACCCACCCTTGCGGTTGTCACCATCATCATCATCATCATCATCCAGTTCCCATCTCCAAGTCTCATCCCCAACATCACTGATTAGAAGAAATCAATGTGGTAACTTTTTCTGTTTTCAACACATGTGATTAGAAGAAATAAATCCAAAATTAATGTGCTGGTGTTGAAATTTTGCACATGCTAATAGTTATATTTTCAGATCAGCAAGTTAATGGTTTTATTGAGAAAATTTACGGAAGAGGGCATCTAGGACACGAGATAAAAGCACATGAGGCACATTGACCCAGTTGCAAAGTCAAGGAGTAAACTGAGATTTTTGGTAAAAGTCATAGGCAAATCAATAAATAAGTTACTAACCAAACCAATCTTTCAATTCCGTTACCCCTAATCACGAGCCAATATGTTCTTCAATGATTGAATGGCAGATCAACCATTTCTGGTTGATACATGCGTTGATGCTTGGTTGGTAGACAGAGAGAGGTTAGAGATGAAAAGGGATCTTGCAAACATGACTATCATCATATCATGTCAGTAGCTGCTAGGGCACACATGACATGTGCACTAATTTTGGGCCAAAAAGGTGGCATTGTCCAGAGTTTGTTTTTCCTTTTTGGACACAGATTGGTGTAATTGGTGAGGAGTTTTGCTGTGTGCTTGTTCAGCACCAATGCCGCCTCCTCCTTCATGATGCAGGCATCAAGCTCTAAATTATTGATCCATCATCAACTTCGTGACTTTTCTCTTTTTCTTTCTGTAATTTCTTGCATAAGTAATTTGTTTAGAGCACGTCCATCCCTAATTGGATTCAGTCCCCTAATCAAATTGTGATGATTCATACAAGAACAGGTCTCATGTTCAAGTTTCTGTTTTATTTTTTGACCTTTTTGAAAAAATAATAATAAATTTGGTGGCGGAGGCATTCAATTTTGTAGACAACCTAGTTATAGTTAGAGCCAATTAGGGAGTTGACAAAAGGGTTCCAAAAAGTTAGTTTTGACTACATGCATGCTTAAGGGGATTTTGTATGAACTTCTAATTAATTCGATGTAATGGCTTTAACATAGATGACCTGTGTTTAGACTTCACGTATATAAATAAATAAATATATATACTGAAGTGATTATTTAAATAACTTATAAAAAAAAGAGATCGAACTTGAGTACAAGATGACGGATACACTTCCATAGCTAACAGCATAATCAAATTGAGGTTGTTATTTCTAAAGTGTCTGTCTCTTATTCAAGACATTACCCTTCTTCTTTTTTCTTGTTCTAGGTATTATTCAAAATCAACAGAGCCGAGACTAGCAGAGGGAAAGAAGGACTGAAAAATGGGAGTCGGGGAGTTTGGTAGAACATGAATAATATGACTTGACATGTGAGTGTGTGGAGAAACCATCAATACACATCACGTCGATTTTGTCTAAATTTAATTCATTTCAAAGTCTGTACGGGAAAATAATGACACTCACCAATCACCACCTTCAAATTTTATGGCTTGGCATAAAATGGGCTTAAATTTTGCATAAATATTCCTATTACGCACTGCTAAAAATGGCATCCCAAACTGATTAGTGGTATTGCATTGTGCATAGAGATTATGACAAGATTGATTTAGGTTAAAAACACCTTATCTACAAAACATTATTGTTGAAGTCCAATCTATTATTTCTAAGTTCTTCGCTTATTTTGAGCAAACTTTTAAACGCAATCAGGGTTAGTTTGGGTACTAAACTATTTTGTTTCGCATAAAAAAAAAAAAAAAAAACTCAATGACAATTTGGTCTGCCGAATTATTGAAACTTTTTTGTTGTTGTTACAATTGAGGGAATGAAACCTTGACCTAATCTTATCTGAACCACTTAAGTTAACCCCAATGACTTATTGAAATGAACTATTTTACCTTTATTTCTTTTCATTTTCATAATTTCTTTCAAACTTAATGAAAAGAAGTTCATGAGTTATGACACTCTGAATGTACGGGGAGGTGAATAGGGAAGAAAGGAGGGCGAACCGGAGGGAGAAGGAGAGATAATTTTGCTTATGGGTTATTGACCAAAATGGTCCCCTAACTATTGCTCCAGTATTATTTTGGTCCACCAATTAAAATTTTCATTTCAATGGTCCTTCAACTCTTCATTTGGAATCAAAACGGTCCAACCGTTAAAGTCTGTCAATTTTATTGTTAAAATTAAGGGGTAAAAATGTCTCTATGAATTAAAATAGTAATATATAATTAAAAATTAAAGGAAATTATTAGAAAAATTGAATCTCACCAGCCATGTGGTTTTTTTTTTCCTTGAGATTGACCTAACGATTAATTAAACAAATTATCTATTGTTTAAATTAATAAATACATAAATAAAATAACTATACATAAATTTATCAACAAATTTTATTGTGCATAAATTAAATTTAAAAAACTATTTATAGAAAATATAAAATACATTAAATTTTGTATAAAAAAAAAAAGAAAAAAACAAGAACAAGAAATGTAATGTTGGAAATGATGCATTAGAAAATGGAATTTGTTTGAGCGCCACATCACAATTCACTTCCAACAGTGACACATGAATGGAATCTGACCACTATGATATGAATAAGCTTTATCAAGAATTATTAAAAAAAAAAAAAAAAAGG